AAAAAAAAAAAGAGAGAAAAGAGAGAAGACCTGATAGAGAGAAGATGACCTGTCTTGTTATTACATGTACATTGAGAGAGTAGGTGAAACTGAAAATGACCAAACCTATTTTCAGTAACTTCAGGTAACAAATCCAGATGGAGGGAAGACATGTATTTGACAGAGGATTTCAGAATTGTTCAGAACATTGCTGTCACTGTGGAAACTGAAATTCAGAATGTTGTATAATGTGGTGTGGCTTACACTGTTTTTTCTCTTTGTTCTGTTATGCTGCTCTTTCCTGCTTCGCTCCTGATCTTACCACTGCCCTTCTTTTTCTGAATCTGTGTTTCTGATCCATCTATTCAGAGTGATGTCAAAAGCAGATGTACACAGATCCTTTTCTGTGATACAGTGTATGCCCAGTGTTGCACATGAAGTTTCCACTTAAATTATCAGTCTTTAGTTGCTCATTGAAATAGTTTCTGTAGTATGTGTGTATATATATATATTTATTGTCTTTTTTTATTCAGAAGTGGCTTGGCCATTTTAGTTGAATCTTAAAAAAATGTTACCTCTTCCTCCAAATCTTAGCATAAATCAGAAGCTCAGAACAGAAAATGACTGCTCTTTGTTGAAGCTGGAGATAGTCTTATGGTGGAAGTACTGGGCAACCATACAGCAGTATATCTTACTGTTCTCTGCCTACAAGGTGTTTTTTGCTCAAGAACAGAATATTTTAAAATCAGTGGCAATTTTTCTACCACTGAAACACTAGGATTATGCCCTTTTTAAGCTAAAGCAAATTTTGCCATAGCAAAATCATAATGCCCAGGTAGCATTACTTTCATGAAAAGACTGCTGATTTTTGATTATTGAAAGGTTAATAATAATAATAAATACTTTTTTTTTTTTTAACTGGAGTGATAATCTAAGTACATCTTGCTACTTTCACTGTTGTCTGAGTCTGGAGATTTGTAATAATATTAGTCTGGCAGGTCCCTTATAGTCTACGGAATCATACAGTGTAAGAAAGTAAGATTGGAGGGAGTGTTGCCTCATGGCAATCATACATGTTTGAATTTCTTCATGTTGAGTGCTAACTGATGATTAATTAATGTTTGTTTTTTTTTCCATCCCAGGCTAATGGCCGAGTGGCGATTTTCTCGGGGAGTTAGAGAACAAACCAAAGCTTTTCTTGATGGTTTTAATGAAGTTGTTCCACTACAGTGGCTACACTATTTTGATGAAAAGGAGCTAGAGGTGAGGTTTTCTGTTCAACATTTTTAACTTATGCAAAAGTAATACATATGGAATGGTTAAACTGAATCTCTCATCTGTGGCATGCTGAATTTGATAGCTTCTGGAACATGGATAATTTAATAGGAGCAGTGGGGATATATCATGGTGAGAAGCCAGTATCTATTGAATCAGTGTTTTGTGGTGTTCAGCAGTTGGGAATTTTAGATTCCATCCTTAGTATTAAAATGTGTTTTGCAAGTTTTTGTGATAGGATCAGAATATGAGGTCACAGCTGGATCTGTTAGTCATAGAAAACTTTTCCCGCTGTGGTAGATGGGTAGAATTACCTTGTAGCAGATGGCATGGAAGTTGGTGCTGATGTGTAATATTTTTTTTTGTTTCACATAGATAGTCTAGGATAGGTTCTAGAGTTATTACACTTACGGACAGCAAGTTGGAGGAGCCAACAAGGCTTGAAACTGAATTTTGTGGAGCCTCAATATGTGACCCAAGGGCTGATAACAGGAATTGCTTGCATGCACCGTGTTTGCTTAACAGTCAGCCTGACCTGTGTTTGCTGTTGGCATTGTGGTCTGGAGCAGGGACAAAAGGCTCTGTAGTGCTACGCTTATTTACTTCTGTGAGACTTGCCAAGGTTGCCTGTATATAATGAGCAGTGCTCTGAAAGCTTCTTAAGTTAAACTGGAGTTTTGCCTGAGAAAGGACTTTGATCAATCTTATTTAGTGTTCACTTTTCTATAAGGCTTTGCCTTTAGCACTTTCAGCTTTCATTTCCTCTCGTAATGAATACTTTACAGACTTATACTTTGCAGTGTGTTTTATCTTTGTTAGTAGTTGCAGTAGCAGCAATGTAATCATCTTGGAATATGAGGCAAGGTTTTAATGGGAAAGGTAATACCCTCTTTAATACAAAATTTCCTTTTATGGGAAAGATAGTATTTTTTATTATTGAATTACTAGTTGGAAGAAACTAAGTTTCTGGTATGCTGGCTTTCAGACCACTTAAATACGTGAAAAATTTTGGAGGAGTTCTGTAAACTTAAGATAAAGGAAGACCTAACTGTGGAGTAAAATGAAAAAATTACCAGTTCTTTATTGGGAGCACGAACTTCCATTTTTGTTAGCGCATCTCATACAAGATACAAAATTAACTCTTAATTTATGTGTGTAGGCATGTATATTGACAAGTAATTATTCTCTTTTTGTAGGTTATGCTCTGTGGTATGCAAGAAGTTGATTTAGCAGACTGGCAGAGGAACACTGTTTATCGTCATTATACCAGGAATAGCAAGCAGATCATATGGTTCTGGCAGGTATGTCTATCAGTAAAATTTCCGACTTCTTTAGATTTTGTTTTGTTTTGTAACACAAATGACATGTGGAGTGGAGCGATGCCATCTGAATGAAGGTTATTGCTGCTTCCTTTCTTTTTTCCTTTCAGAGAAGGGAAGGAGGATTACTGGTTCTTAAGGATCATACTTTAGGGTGGGAAATGGCAGATGGATACTCGCATTACATTTAGATGGCTAGGTCATGAATATTTTTTCTGTATCTTGTCCTTCATATTAATTATACAATGGTAGGGTTTTTTGAGTTGTTAGCAGTGATCTCCCTTCTAAATGTTATTACATGTAGTACACCTGTACATCTGAAATGCTACATTAATGATTATTGTCATATCAACTGTGCCAGTCTAGCACTGACTGATCATAACTCACATTTTAATGAAGTTGGCTAAGAGTTATTTCCAGAAAAAACACTCAAAAAATGCTATACAGGCTTGCAGCTTCTATGAATTTCCCCAAAGAGAAGTCACAGCTAGGCAATTCCTGTCTTGTCTTAAATCACCATTTTGGAGATGCTTTTGACAAAGTTACTGTAAGAAAATGACACAAATCAGTCACTTCCTAGCTTATTTATATTGTCAGAATAATGCAAGATCTGATGATAATGTAAGATCCTGATCTCTTTTTAAGAAGTTTGGTACTGAAAGAGTCTTAACCAGAAGTTCAAGTAACTTGGATATGGTTTCAACAGAAAACTTTTACAGAAAGAAAAATATTCATTTCGCTATCCAGGTTTTTCTGAGTCAAAATTCTAGTTCTGTCAGTGCCCCCTCTCATACTGAGATCTTCTCCGTCTCCCTCCTCTTTTCTTCCTCTTCCCTTTCCCAGTGAATTTCCTTACAAAGTGATGCAGCTGTTACCGATGGTGTTTTCTCTCACTGAGATTGCCACGTGCAGGGTAGGCTTCAGTCTTGAAATACTCAGAGCCTGTGGCTACGCTGTTGCTGTGTTTAAACAAAGTGGCAATAGTCTTCATATAAAGCAATGGCATGATTTATATTTTAGTCTAGAATAGAGAAAGATTCTTGTTATTTGGTGTTCCCAACCTTCACACTGAAATGGGCAACAGTGCATGTAACCTGAAATCAGTCTTCTCCCTCCAGCCCCAATTTTACTGAAATCGAGAAAGGAAAACTGTTCTCAAGTGGTGTCTGTTTAAATGGAATTATACTTTTTCAACACATTCATGGGGTTTTTGTTTTTCTTCAGCTGTGTTAAAGATTTTTATTAAGTAATTTGACTTTCTGTGCCTAGTTTGTAAAAGAAACAGACAATGAGGTTCGCATGCGACTTCTGCAGTTTGTCACTGGCACTTGCAGATTACCACTAGGTGGATTTGCTGAACTTATGGGTAAGTAAATGGTGACCAAAATTTTTATTCTGTAACTGTTCCGTTTGCAAATGAATCATGATGCAAGTGCAGAAATAGCAGGAACTTCATGTACATGAGCTTGGATCTAGAAGGCCTTTGCCTATATATAAATGTATAGATTTATACATTTATAAATGATTAGGAAATTAGCTCATTTCTGTGAGAAGAATGTTCAAATTCATGTAACACTGAGTAGCACCTAATGAGCTCTGTCTGCTGTGTCTGAGTTGTCTGATGTCGTGTATGTATCTTGTGTACTACTTAAAAAACGTGTAATCTGTTCCTTTTAATTTTCTTTTCTAGGAAGTAATGGTCCTCAGAAATTCTGCATTGAAAAAGTTGGTAAGGAAACGTGGTTACCAAGAAGTCACACTTGGTGAGTTGTTACATGTAAACTTTCTGTACCTTTAGTGGTTCTCTCTCCTAGTCTTCCATTTATCAGATCAAATGAAATCCAATTTGAATCAGTTCTCTGTCTCCATCTTCAGCTTCTTTGATTGCTCTGACATGCCAGTATTGAAGACTCTTCTGGTCACCCTGTTCTCAGATTTTGCTGCTGCACTGTACAGTTTGTCAGTATCAGATTTATTAAAAATATATCATCCTTCTTGCATAGAACTGAGAGGTGTTCCCCTAGTTCTTTATTTTAGAGAATATTAAAGAACTGAACAACAATCATGTTGGTATTAGGTATGTACAGTTATCAGATACACTTATTATGCAGTAACGTTATAAATGTATAGTCATGAGAGAAAGTAGTGTGAAAGAAGTCGCAGCAAACCTTCAAAACAAGGATGCTTTGCCAAGAACGCAGATACTCTTTCCTGCCAACAGGCTTCAGACTGTTGTTGGCTTGGCCTTCCTGTGCCGAACTGGAGCAGCAGGTAGACAGATCAGTTGTCTTATGTATACTGTGTGCAAAATGGGCACACCTTCGTTGGGCAGCACTGTGACAGTAACGTTCGTCGTAGTTTAATTACGTCAGGGAATCTTCCATTTTACCATTTTCTCCACTGGTGCTGTTTTTTCAAGTGATGATTGCAAGAGTTAAACATCCCTCTTTGTCTAAGATAATTTGGGGGAAGGCACAGAATGAAGCAGAATTTTGGCAGAAGCCTTTTAGGGCAAAGTTGAGAGGGGAAAAAAAAACAAACCCTTATGTTCAGGCATGTGTAAGGAGAAAAATTCAGCTTTTTCATCGTCTGGCTGGGATTTGGAGATGCATCAAACTAGGATGATACTAAATTTCATGGTGAAACTTTCCTTTCCTTTCCTGAGTATTATAGTTCTTTGTATCTTGGGCTGTCTTTAGTCTTCAAAGGTTCTGGTTTTTATCTGACGTGATTAGTCTTTTGTTTCTTAAAGTATTCCTCTCCAACTTTGCCTGATTTTAGTGCTCATAGAAATGCCAAGGCAGTGAGATTGCACTGATTGCTATTTCTTCATTTCCAATTGTTAGATCAGAACATTTTTAACTTCTAATATAGCATTCGAGTTCTATAGTGCTCTACATGGGATTTAGATAAACTTAACAAAATTTTGTCCTTTTTCTGCTCAGTTTTAATCGTTTGGATTTGCCACCGTATAAAAGCTATGAACAACTAAAAGAGAAGCTGCTCTTTGCCATTGAAGAAACAGAGGGATTTGGTCAAGAGTAGAAGTGGCTTCTAGTCAAAAAGGAGATCTTGCGTAATGAAAGGCCCAGCCAACTAAAATTGCACACTTAATTGTATATAAGCTTTTTGTTCTGTACAGTGATCTTTCTGGAACTCTAAATTGTTCTCCGTTCTTCCACAAAGATATGCAAAACAGTTCAGCCTTTTCTACTTTTATTTATTGCCCTTCCAAAAGACCAGAAAAAAACCCTCATAAATTTTGAAAGCAGACAAGAGACTTATTTAAAATATATATAAAAAATATAAATATATATACTAATAGGCTCTAGTTTTTTAGAGCTTTAAGTGTATGAAAAGTTGCAGCCATTTAAAAGGGCCTGGATTTGCTTTATCTTGGCTTTATTATTCAGAAAAATGTTTAAACTGCTCTGTGTTCTTTCTTAAGAAACATCTCCAAGTTTGTTTTATTGCATGGCTGTTCTAAAAGGTGTTAAAGGCTTAGGCCAAACGTATCCTAAATATGTAGAAAGATGCTGCTGGTATTTGAGACAACAGAATACGTTGTTCTGTCAGTTTAATTTTTTTAAATACGTAAATAGCTGATATATCCCTCTCTACTGATGTAGCCAAGGTCATGCATAAAGCCTTTACTACTTGCACAAGAGTCATGTACAATAAGATGAATGTGATTTAATGTTGAAAGAAATTGGTGCCACTGTTCTGACTTATTGTAGGAGCTGAACAGAATATTTTAATTCATTTGAGCAGCATTGAAATTTGTTTACATATTACCTTGGGTTATTACCACGAGGATGTTAGGTAATCTGAAAAGAAAAAATAATAAAAGACAAACTATTACACGTTCTCTCCTTGGTCTGGTGTCTTACAGGCTTCTTTTTTTTGTTTGTTTTTTTGTTTCCCTTTTCAATCCGCGATGTCCTTTTTACAGCTTTGTCGAGCGTATTAATGTAAACTGGGATGTAAGGGTATACAAAAGATAATGTGAACTTTGCTGCTTTCTGTGTTAATGTTCAGTTTCAGTTACTGGCCCTAGTGAACCCAAATGAAATGAAAGCTACAGAAGCTTTGCACAAATAAAAATATTCTTAAGTATTAAACACCCTAATTCCTCTTACGTTCTTATGGAATTCAGATGTACCTGAATTAAATATGTCTAAAACCTGTCATTCTTTTATGTAGGTTAAGTTTGTCCTAAGTGCACAACAATATAAAGCCATTTTAAAATTAGTTTTATTGGTACTGAGGGCACTTGCTGAACTGCAAAGATGTGTTTAAAAAAAACAGTAAAATCTAACACCTTACTCATGTGAATTATATTAAATGCTACTGTTAGCAAACCGTGCTTCCTTATTATAAAAGTAAAAACATGTTTAAAACTACCATTTGTATTATGCTTTAAATATTGACTGTGAATTCTGTTACGTTTAACTTACACAGAATTTTGTACACATGCAATTGATTTCTTAGAATATGATTAAAAACACTTCTGTAACATAACATATTGCACTGTTAAAAGTGTACATGCAGAAAAAATAGCTATATCTGTTGATGTATCTTTCCAATATAGCGACTGAATTCTGCCAAAATTTTATTTTTCTACATATTGGATCCTCTTGAGGCTTTGTATTCAATATGCACAGCTTACTGTGGAGATGTTAACCTGTACATAGCTTTTGTAACACTGGTAGTGCGATGGGCCCAGTGGACTGCAATCTTACACGAACTTCGTGTAAGAGCTTCAAAAATTTCCACTTTAAAGGTTTTTCATACTACACCAAATATCTTCTGCAAAACCGTTGTCATAAATACAGCATTCAATTAATTTCAAGTGCAAATCCACTTAAATATGATGACTTATGCCACTTAAATGGAGGAAGCTTTAAAAAACCCTGAACAACAAACAGTTGTCAGAGATGGGGCAACAGAAGCGTGTGTGGCTTGTCTGAGAGACAGTTAGGAGGGGTCAATGTCAGAGAGTTGGACTTCATGTCGCACTGTTGATTTGACTTGATGACCCACTACCAACTGCTGAATTTTGTGAACCTGTGAGTAAGTGAACAAAGTAATAATAATAAAAAAGACAGCACATCACAAGAATGTAGTTGCTTTATTGTTTTGATAATTTTAGCTGTCTCATAACTGCAATAGTTTTTTCTGTGGGTAAGGGTTAGTAAGCAAGGAAAAAAACCAAACCCAGTGGCCTTCTGTACATGTGTATGATCTAGTAATGGGTTTCAAAGGGCTGACTGGGAAAGCACAGCTCTTCAGAGGAAAAAAACCCCACAGTTTATATGTTCATGTCTGTGTGCACATACAGTTAACTCAAACTTTGTGGGAATTTCAGTAATACCGCATTGCAACTTTTTCCTATTTGCATTCCCCATAATTAAGCTGTACTTGGGGGCAGAGAGAAAGACAGGGAAGAGAGGGAGAGCAGCAGAGGCTGGAGATCAGGCAAGGGAACCAGTGAGGCAGTACTGCCTGGAGGAGCTGCTGTTCACGGGTTCTGTTTGTTCCTTTGTTCCTGCAAGCAACTCAGCTGCTCTTCTCTGAAACACTCGACAATCTTTACCTGGTACCAGGACAGCCTTCCTTTTTGTGCAGGTGCCATTTTCTGCAGCAGAAAAGGCTCAGAAGTAGGATGCCTCTGCCACAAGGCTACTAGAAGCGTTTTCATCTCTGGAAAATGTTTTTGTAGTGTATGAATGGAGAAAATTCAAAGAATCTCTCTGAAACATTACATGTCATCCATCCAGGACTTCCGACATACCGAATACTTCATTTTGATGCTCTGCTAATAGAAAAATAAGAATGACTTTACCGTAGTGGAGAAAACCATCTTTTAACTAGTTTCGTTATCTGAGGCTAGAGTAAAAGCTCTTGATTATCTCTCAGCTGTAGATTATTTACTACTGACTCTGCAAAGGCTTGGTTTGTTAGTCTAAGCAGTTCATGCCCTTCTTCATCTTCCTCCTGTAGATCGCAGTTATCTTTTTCTATTAAAGCGAACACTAGGTATTTAATTTGTTCTAGATCGGTAGACTTTCTACTGGCAATACCATGCATGTTTAATCACCTACCATTTTTTCAGTATTTGATCCTCTTTTTCTGTCGGGTGATCAGAATATAGTGTTTGGAAAATCTGTAAGTACTTTCTGGGCTGGATATCTAACTTAGGTTAACTTATTTTTTTTGGTGAAAGTTCCTGCTAAAATAGTAGCAAGAAGAAGGTTTTTCTTCCTCTCTACCAACAGAAGTCTGTGTGCTTCCAAATAGTAGTTCCCTTCTACTGTACTGGAAGTACGTGTTCCTCCTGTCATCACAGTCTAGGGGAAGGAGATGGGGGGCAGCCACCACCTCCTCACAATACACATACCTCCCAGGTATGCACAGTTCACAGAAAGCAGCATATGCAGGGAGAAGCTATCACCTATAAAAGAATATTTTTTTAGGTGTTCCCTATTTCACTTTTAGTTTTTAAACCACAGCACTTTTTTCAAAGTCAAACACTAGCATGTAAGTATATTGGAAGTAAGATTGCTTGTGCAGCCTTAATGAGAAATGTGTAGGAGTGTCTAAAGTGAACAGACATTACTCTTGAAGGCCACTGAACCCCACAGCAGAACGCTCTAGAAAAAACTGCAGGTTTATAATTACATCATGGCCCTGTACCTTCTTTCTTTTAAGTTATGCTAGTCATGTTTCTTACTGTTCCTCATACATAACTTGTAGCTGAACAGTGTAAAAAAAATCTATAAAAGAGCTGTGCAACAACTGTCTCAGCCTTTCTCGTCCACTGCCTAACCTGCTTGTCCATAGAATTACAGAATCACAAAATCACAGAATGGAAGGGACCTCTGTGGGTCATCTAGTCCAACCCCCTGCCAAAGCAGGGTGGCCTACAGCAGGCTGCACAGGACCTTGTCCAGGTGGGTCTTGAGTATCTCCAGAGAAGGAGCCTCCACAGCCTCCCTGGGCAGCCTGTTCCAGTGCTCCATCACCCTCAGAGTGAAGAAGTTCTTCCTCATGTTCAGATGGAACTTCCTGTGCTTCAGTTTGTGCCCATTGCCCCTTGTCCTGTCACTGGGCACCACTGAAAAGAGCTTGGCCCCATCCTCCTGACACCCACCCTTCAGATATTTGTAAGCATTTATAAGGTCCCCTCGCAGCCTTCTCTTCTTCAGGCTGAACAAGCCCAGTTCCCTCAACCTCTCCTCGTAGGGGAGATGCTCCAGTCCCCTCACCATCCTCGTAGCCCTCCGCTGGACTCTCTCCAGTAGCTCTTCATCTTTCTTGAACTGGGGAGCCCAGAACTGGACAGAGTACTCCAGATGAGGCCTCACTAGGGCAGAGTAGAGGGGAAGGAGAACCTCCCTTGTCCTGCTGGCCACACTCCTCTTGATGTACCCCAGGATCCCATTGGCCGCCTTGGCAGCCAGGGCACACTGCTGGCTCATGGTTAAGCTGTTGTCCACCAGGACACCTACGTCTCTCTCTGCAGAGCTGAGCTCCATCAGGTATGCTCGGAGCCTGTACTGGTGCATAGGGTTGTTCCTAATGAGGTGCAGGACCCTGCACTTGCCCTTGTTGAGCCTCATCAGGTTCCTCTCTGCCCAGCACCCCAGCCTGTCCAGGTCACGCTGAATAGCAGCACAGCCTTCCCATGTGTCCACCACTCCTCCCAGTTCTGTGTCATCAGCAAACTTGCTGAGGGTACATTCTAACTCTTCATCCAGGTCACTGATGAAGAAGTTGAACAAGACTGGGCCGAGTACTGACCCCTGGGGGACACCACTACTTACAGCCTCCAACTAGACTCAGCGCTGCTGATGACAACCCTAAACCCTGAATTCCCATGTAAACCAAGAGACTGGATCACATAATGAAACAGATCGTGTATTTGACAGTTTAATTGAAATGAGATGGAGATAGCAAGTTTAGGCTAAACTTAATTAACAGCTTCAATAACCCAAAGTAGCACTTGGGGTCTTTCTCCTATGCTGCTCAAATCTGAGGCACTGAATTCCCACTGTCTTCTTTCTTGTTATATGGAATTAAGCAACTCCAAAGCTTCTTTCTGTACCTGAAAGAAATACAAACACCCATAACAAAGCAGTGCCATGCAGTTACAGGCTCCTCTAGCAGAACTTATCGCGCAAGCACCCAGGCGTTTCACCCCAGTTCTGTGAGTGCAGACCCTTCCTAAGACTAGTCGTTTTTCTTCCTGTAGTTCAAGATACTCAACACTTGAAACATGAATGGGAATAAAGCCACTTAAGCCAGCACCTTCAGTGTAATTTACTTACTGTATGTAGTAAGTTTTTGTTGAATACAGATGATTAGCTCTTGATCTGCTGTAGTCCAATAGTAGGATGTAGTAAGTTGCCCTGTTCATGACTGTAACAAACCAACATATTTTTTCAGTAGGTTTTGGGTTTTCAATACTTTGCGCAGTGGCTAAGGAAGTGTGAGAAGATTGGTTCCGAGACTCCCTTTGCCCAGGGATTCTTGGTAAAATCTAATAAAATTTGAATATGACCTCTAACATCTACATTAAAAAAAAAAAGTCAAACCCCAGCAAACTTCTGGTCCTGACAGAACAAACAGTGTGGACAACATAAGTCGGATACTGCAAACACAGAGGTGAAAAATGTTCAGAAAACCTGCTTATGCCTACCTCTGCCAAATGCAGAGACAGGCACTCCAGTTTCTTTGCACAGGCCAGTTCCCTTCTCATTCGACTACCAAGTCCAGTTCCCAGTGAATTCTGCATTTTACGCATTCGCCCAGAGAAGGGTGAGAAGGCCACCTCTCTTGGTTGAGTAGCTCTGCGCT